TTGATAAAAATACTAAAGAAAATACTATTAAAACTTCGAAGAAAATCGCTATATAATGTTGAAGGAGAACATTGTCAAAGGAGAACATTGTCGAAGGAAATTGTTCTAAAAAAAAAAGAAAAAGAAAAAAAAATGTAAGAAAAAAATATAAAAATAAAACAGAAAAAAAAAATAAAAGCTAAAAAAATTAAAGAAGAAAGTTTAAATCCTTTTTTTTACAAACTTGCATATAATAATACTGTAAACAAACAAAACCAGAATTTTTATAGAATTACTACTGAAACTAATGTTTACTCTATTTCTAAACATATATAGAATTTAAAAATTCTAAATATATTAGTGTATTTAGAATTCATATAGAATTCTCAAAAAATGAGTTCTCAATTCTTTTTGAAAGCATTTCTATACTTCAAAATTATGCAATAATTTCTTAAATTGCAATTTAAGAAATTATTTCTAAAACTATCCAGAATTTTGAAGTATAGGAATACTTTCAAAAAGAATTGGGAACTCTTTTTAAAAATTTCATAAAAATTCTGAATGCACTAATGTATTTAGAATTTTTACTGAATTCTCAAAAGAGTTTTTGATTCTTTTTAAAAGTATTCCTATACTTCAAAAATTCCAAATATTTTTAGAAATAGTTCCTTAAATTGGCTCTGTTATTTTTTGATAATTTTTGGAGTTCAAATCAGTTCCTTATACAATTAACCAAGTTTCTGAGCAGTTCTGAAACATTTCTATTAAATTTCTGATCACGTGTAGCAGTTCCTAAGAAATTTCTGGACACTTTTCTTATAGAATTGGTTTGTTATAGTATTAATTTGAGAAGCTAATTATTGAAAACTTTGAGTTGTTTGGTCAGAATAGTTTTCAAGTATTTCTTTAGATCAATTTTTTTATAAATAGTATTTCTTTTTTTGTTGTTTAGAGGGCTTTGGTTTGTTGATGATTATAGAGATTTTAATTATAATAGTATTATAATTAGAGTTATATATATTATTAGAGATAATATTAGTATAATTAATAATAGAGGTAGATAGATTTGTTCAAATCTAGTCAATTTGACTTGAGAATTGAGAATGATTAAAAGTAAAGTTTTTGGTTTTAGTAAAGAAGTGTCAATAAATATCTTTGTATTGATAGCTTATTAAATATTTAATAAGTTAAAGTTTTGATATAGAGGTTTTTTTAGATAGATTTTTATCTAATCATGTATTAGAGACTCTATTAAAGTCTGCTATAATTATAATTTTATAAGTTTGATGTTGTAATAGTGAGATAAGATATTCTTGTATTTTTTTCAAAGCTATTTTTTTTTTCTGTATAGGAATATAAACTTGAAGAAGTTTAATTGATGAGTTTTTGAAGTAAAGGTCAAAACCAATAATATAGCCTTTATAGTTATATATACAAGCAATATATTTAGAGATTTTTTGATGTATAAAGATTCCTATACCTGTTTGATGTATGTGAGTATAGGTATTCCAGAAACTTTAATAGTTGTTAATTTGGTTGTTAAGTATTTTCTCTTCTTTTATAGATAGATATATTTCAGAAAGACCTAAGATATCATATGTATTATTATTAAAAGCTTTAGTTATTATGAGTTTTTTATTAGATTGAAGAAGGCTATTTATATTAATAAAAACAATTTTGATAAGAAGTGATGTATATTCAATTTCAATAATAGAATTATTGAGATGAGACATATTGTTAGAGATAGATCTAATTAGTAAATGATAATATTTTAGTAGATTGTTAGTTTGAAGTTGAATATGATTTGGGAGTAATAGGTTATTATTGTTAGTATAAATATATATTTCATTATAAGTAGTATTAATTGAAATTTTAAAAGGTTGAGTAAAGTTGTTGTAATAGAAATATTTGATAAAAGAACCTAATATTTGTAGTTTTAAGAGTATAGGTATATTGTAGTAATTTAGAAATTTATTATAATATATATTTGTTATTTTCTCAATAGGAGTTGAAGTAGTGATAATTGAAGAAATTTGAATATCTTCTGTAAAGTTACTCATCATATGCTCAGTTTTTATAGTTGCAAAGAGTTTCATAGCCTGCTTTGTATATTGAGTCTAGCTATTATAAGCTTAATTCTTCATATAAATAGACTTTCCTACCTATCTACTTACTATATTCTCCTCTAAAAATAGTCTACAATGAGTAAAAAACATCATAATTTTAGAGGCAGTGGTTGTATTTATGAGTTTTACAGAAGACACATTTAGAAATTTTGAGAGACAATTTTTGTATATAATAGTTTTGAACTATTTGATATTGATTCAATAGTCTCTTCAGTTAAATTTTCTCTTTGTTGTAAAGAACAAGAGTCTTGAGGAATTTGTATATTAAAAAGAAGTAATTGTTTAATCAACTTTGGTTATTTAAAATTAATTTTGAATTTATTATAAATTATTTGCTATACTTGAGGATAAAAAGTTATTTTATATTTTGAACAGATTTAAGATAAACTAATAAGAGATTGATGTGAGATATAGTAATATATTAAAGTATATGCAAAGAAATATATATTAATAGGATTTTGAGTAATTTTAATAATTGCATCATGTTGGCTTAGTTTGAAGATACTATTATTTCTGCTAGCGACATCAAGAAAAGCTTTAAAATAAATATAGAAGTAATAGGTTCATTATTTGTAATTAGTTGTAGTATTGTTAAGAGATATAAATTCTTTTTCAGCACTTGTAGCAAGTTCATTAAATAATAAAATAGAAGTTGAAATTTTGAAACTAGCTTCATATTTCTGATCTTTTCCAAATACTAAACAGTCTAAGGATAGATAAATAATCCTAGATTTAGTATCATCATCAATATCTATTTTTGAAGTAGCAGGAAAATAAATATAAGAATTTTTGAAAATAATTTTAGAAATAGTAGAGAAATCATATTTTTGGTCAGTTGTGATTAAGAAACAAGTTTGAGTAGTATCATATTTGTAATTGTAGAGATGAAAGAGTATTGCTTTAGTAGATTGTTTTGAGCAGTCTTGAAGTAAAGAGGGATTTGAAAATTCAAAGGATTTAGGGAGTAAATTTTTTTGATAAAAAGAGAATTGAAGGTATATTTGGTGTTTAATATAATTTATTGTTTTGGTTTTATCTATGAGAATAAATTGACAACTATAGATTTCAAAGAATAAATTAAACTATTTTTTAAAGGTATAGTTGCATTTCTTAAGAGAAGTTATTTTGTAAGAGTTAAAAAAATCTTCTTTAAGAATATTTAAATTGATGTTGATATTAAATTTGTATTTATTTTTTATAGTAACTAGAGGTTTGTTTAGTTGGTCTTCATTAAAAGAATAGTGAAGCTGAAAGTGAATAGGCTTAATATTTAAATCTTTTGTAAATTGAGTATAATTAATTGTTTTATAAGAATGATTGAGATATAGGTGGAGTCTTGTAAAGTTTAATTCAATACAAATATAGTTTGGAATAGTATATAGTAGGATATTAGTATAAGAGCAGAAGATTTATTTGTAATTGAATTTGGTGAAGAGAACTTCAGAAAAAGATTCAATAAGTAATGTAAAAGTTAAGTAAAGAGTATTGAAAGAAATTTCAATATTACAACTTATTTCAGAATTAGCTTTATAAATAAAATTAGTTAGAAATTCTGAATATTGACCAGCTAAAGAGTGGAGAAGATATTTGAATATATATTTGAATTCTTGATCAGAGTTTTTAGTTTTAGTTGTTGTAAATTGTTGTTTGTTTTGTTGACATATTTGACCAGATTTAAAATCTTTTAATGTGATTGAATAAATTTAAAAATTGCAAAGAAAAGTGATGTATTTAATTTGGTATATAGTTTCATTTCATCTATAATAAGATAGTTGGAGAACCAATCAAAATCTTTAGTTGAATCATGAGTAAATTGAGATATGTTAGTTGTAAAAGAAATTTTGATTTGTTTAAAGAAATTGTGTTTGTTTTGTTTAGTTTTGCAGATAAATTTAATAATACCAAGAAAGAATTTTTAATATGCATTGAGAGATTTAGTTTTTAAAAATAAAATTAACATTTCAGTAAAGCAAGTTTTGTGAATTAATCTTTCCTTGATGATAATAGCTATAGAATCATAAAGATATTTTTTATCAGGAAGAACAGCACAAGTAATATTTTATAAGTAACAGATTGCTCATGTATATGGATAGTGAAAATGTGCAGCAATTAAAGTTGTAGATAGATCAATATTTTCAACTGTGATGAATGTTGCAGAAGAAAAAAGGATAGTAGGAATAGATTGTGAAGTAAGTTTAATTGATGAAAGAGGAAGAAGTTCGCCTTTGTTGAATAGTTTGGTACTAAAATTACGACTAGAGCTAAACTACACATGCTTTGTGTGCTGCTCTTTAACCAAATTGTAATACCTTGTACGTATTTTGATAGACTATAATAAATAAAAAATAGTCTGGTTGTTATCTTATAAAAACATGTATACATATTTTACCTAATAAATATTACCTTGTGAAGAGTCGAATAAAGAGGAGTATAGGTGTTAGAAGGTAGACAAGCGAAGCAGAAAAAATACAAACCTATAATCGATTTTACGTATAAACATTAATAATCTTACAGTGGCAATCATATTTTTGCATTACCCTAAAAGGTGAACTTTGCGATCAAATAATTTCATTAGTAAATAACAAATAATTACAATTTTTATTTTTTGGTTCATTAAATCTGGGATAATATAAAATTATCTTTTTTTATTCGGTTAATAATTAAAAACTCGAAAAAATAAAATTTTATTCTATTTTTAGCAATGCATTTCTTTTGCACATTTATTTAAAATGTAAATTTTTGACAATTTACAAAAAAAAAAAAAACAATCTAGATCTATTTTTTTTTTAAACTACAGCCTACTATTCTGTATAACCCCCCTTGCTTTATAAAGTTATTTATACGTTGAGGCATACTTTCAATAAGTTTGTTAATATACCTCATATCCATCTCGACTTAAACCTTTTGAATTACTTCCCAAAGTTCATCCGAATTAGCAATTCCTACAGATAACCGTTTTATTCGCTGATCAATCTCATTATATATATACTCAATAGGGTTTAGATCTAGTAATAAAATAGCCACTCAAGTAATTCAATATTATTATGATAGAACCACAACTTGGTTTCAGTAGCAGTATGTTTTAAATCATTATCCTGCTGAAAAATAATATCATTTTTGTTCAATCTATACCATCAGATTGTTCATAAAAGGTCCTTAGTTAATATTTGTCGATACAAATCTCCATCCATTGTCCCATAAATTCGTACAATGTTACTAACCTCAGAGGAAGTGAAGTACCCCCATACCATAACACTACCACCTCCATACTTCTTTGTAGAGATTATATTTCGTTCATTAAATAGTTCATTTGGTCATTTCCAACAATACTGATATCCGTCAAATCCATATATCTTAAATTTGGACTCATCAGACCAAATTATACGGCGCCAGTCCTCAACTTCCCAACTCATATTTTTTAGCAAAAATATAGTGAGATCGCTGACTTTTTTTGTCCAACACTGGCTTCTTTCACTTAACTCGAGAGAAAAGCCCATTTCTTCTTAATATATGCTTCATGATATCTGTGCTTAGCATAATTTTTTCATGAATTTTTATTTGTTTTTGGATTTGTATTGCATTAGAACATTCACCAGATGCAAGCAAACGTATGATCCTCCATTTATCTCACTCTGTTAAAGTTTGTGGGTGCCCTGATTTTGGTAAATCATTTACAGTTCCGGTTTCTTCTGCTTTATTGCATATTCTAACTACTGAAGACTGAGAAACATTTTCTTTTTTGGCAATGTAACGGGAAGGAAAACCTTCTTGGGCAAGACCATAAATTCGTACTCGTTTTTCAACAGAAATACAAACCATAATTATATTTATAAAAGGGGAGACCAAAACAACATAAAGTGCGAAAACAAATAAATTACTTTCGCTAGTAAAATTTTTTTATTTTTAAAAAAAATTTTGGGGGCAGCTTATGTGACTATTTTTATTACGTAAACGTGCAAATGATTTGCATCGCTAGTTTTAGATTCAAGTAAACATAAAAACTGGAATTGACGTAACATCGCATATATAAATGGCTATCTATGACATATTAACCTTATACTTTCTAATTTTTTAATTTTGATGCAATTATCATGTGTAGGTCACGAGATATGGCTTTTTTTGTTTCTTCAATTCGGGTGATGCAAAACATATGATCGCCACTGTATTAATAAAAATGAAAAATAATGAGAAATAATAGTAAATTTTAGTGAAAACTTCAGTAGGGCTTCTTTAATGGGATATTACAACCACAACAATTTCATTCACAAAAATTAAGAGAAGGAATTGGATACAGGAACATTTTATAACTTTACCTGCTGATCGTTGATCCAACGTCTGTAAAGAATTAAAAAATTGATGGGTCTCAATGTAATCATAATTATTGAAACCAATATTGGCATAATGTAGTTGTTTAATGTTTGATTGGTTGAACGAATGTCATTTTTTAAAAGGAATGTAAATTATGTTAAGCGATGACTAACAAATAAATTAATTGATGAACTGTAAATGACATGTATTTGAATTGGTAATTTAATGAAGTACTCTAGAAATTATTAAATAAATATTCTATTGTTTAATATTTAATGCTTCGCTCAAAAACTAAAAGTAAAAACTTTTGGCAGACATTTATTTCGGAAAAAAAATTTTTCATTTATTAACTGGGATATAAAAATCCAGTGGATTGAAATAAAAAAAAACCACCGGATATCCACGGATCCAAGCACTAATTTGAAACACTGCTTATGTGATATTATTTAAGAGCAAAGTTCACATCGAATATTAATAGTAATTTCGATTTAAAAATATTATTAATAAGAAATTGTTGCATCTACTTTAAATGAAAGATTATTTTTTTTATTATGAACCTCGCTTATTTGTAGTAACATTTAATAATTGTTGATAAAGTTGTTCGTAATCACCTTGTAAAAATAATTATAGCAAATTTCAAATTTTGAAATTTTAAATATCTAAGGTTTTAGATTTAATTAATTAAAAAATGCTTAAAACCCTACTATATACCCCAAAAATAACACAAAACATTTTAAAATAGATGCTACATGTTAAAAAAATTTTGAAAGATGTGTGTTTAAAATACTAATTTACTAATTATTCATTTGATGTAGAGATTATTATAAGGTTTTCTTATGAATTTGGAATATTTCATATTCCTTAACCGAAAAATATGTGTTATCAATATTTCTAATTTGTTTTTCATAACTATTATAATGACACATGCAACCAGATTCTCCAAAAAAATTTTCATTATATTCGTTGAAATTTTCAAGCATGCCAAGATCGCAACCACCACTAAAACATGGTCCATAAGATTCATAATTATAAATCGCTTTTTGTTGTGTTCTTACACGGCTCAAAATAGAATTTTGAATTGTTTTATTTTTTAACGAAAAAATAAAACTCTCATTACAATATTTCAAATTATATGGTTTACTCAATGGTCTATCCCATCCAATAGGATTATATCCACCAAGAATTTCATCAGTACCTTTAACTTTCATAACAACTACAAGATTTTTTTGGTTATTACATAATTTCCAAAATGAATCAGCAGTAAAACCATCTCTGCTTCCACGAAGAAGTAATTTAAATTCTGTAATATTTTCTACAGGATATGATAGATTCTTATTGTCGATCCATGATGTAATTTCAGCTAAGTGTTGCTTATTAATGACGGTTGAAAATGGCGGCTCAGTTATCCTAGGAGGTAATGTTGATGTTATAATAATACGAGGAGGAAGAATTATTGATGATATTGGTTTATTTGGAGCCATAAATTTTTTAGTAATATCATTCCAAAGTTTTTTTTCAAGAATTTGATGATATGGTAGTATATAGGTATCAACGTCATCACCAGAGATTTGAAAATAGCGAATAAGTGGTAAATAATTTTGTAAAGTAGTTTTCAAAGTTAAAAAATTTTCATGCGACCAATTTTCAGGATCAGATGATAAACCAGAATTTTGAGCAATTCCCCATTTGATAACATAATTCCAAATTTTAACTTCATCCATTTGTAAATCGTCACGACTAATAAGCGAGACTAATGCACTTTCTTGAAGAGAGATAAAGTCTTCAGAATCAAATACTTTATCTGGATACTTTGCAACAGTTGTATTGCACCATTGTTGTAAATCTTGAAGTTTATTATTCCGAAAACTTTTTTGGTAAATTTGGGAAAAATTTAAGCGAAGCCAAGAAGACTTGGTTTCAATTAAATCATTTTCGAGATGCTTGGCTAATTCTTCAAAGAGTAACTCATAGGCAACAAGCATGAGTTCAAAAATAAATGAAGCTTTAAGATTTTCTAATGAAATAATTCCACCATAGATATATCTTAATATTTAAAAAATTTATTAATTTGAAGATATACAATTTTTCATAAGAATATAAAATAAATACTAAACAACTTGCATACCTAATAATAATTTCAAATTGTTGAACAGATATATTTTTTAATTTAATCGTTTTAATGTTGTTACTATCTTCACTGGTGTTTACTAATTTATTACGAAAGAATAGAGACCGACATTTTAAAACAGTCGAATGTGCATAAAATATCTTAGTATTCGTAGATTCATCGACGACGTGAATAATTACATTGCTGTCTTCTTGATCATCAAGAAGATTAAGGTAATTGTTTGAAAGATTTTCAAAAAACTTTGTTGTCATTTCAATTCCCGTTTCAATTGCCATTTCAAGTTACGTACAATTGAACGAATGTTTGTGGATATTATACGTATACAGCATTTATTTTGGTGTACTGTTACACAACGTGATCTGTAAGTAAAAGTTTCTGTAAGACAAAGAATGAATCTAGATTAAGCAGATCTATGTCAGGTCATTTTTGGCTTAATTATTGTCCAGAGTCCAACTGTAGTTTTCTTAAATTATAGCAAAGATCAGTATAGTATGCTCTCACAGAATTAAAATCAATACTGTACCTTATTATTTAAGAATCATGTTAATTACCAGTTGAGTTCTCTTTAAAGATCAAGTCGAATATTGATTGAATCAATTAAGATCTGGACGTGTTAAAGTGGCAACGTTTCTATTTTTTTTCAATATAAGCTGACTGCATTTATCATTATTAAAAATTGAATTAAGCCGAGTTAAAATTCTTACAATTAAATTCCGTGATGAGAAGATTGACAATACCAGTATATAAAACTTTGATATTTTATAAGTTTTTCCAAATATACAGTGCATACATATATATTTGTTGTAGGTAGATTTGAAATTTTCAAAGCAACTCAAGTGAGAATAGAACCTTTTAAGCAAATATTCAAGATTATAAAAACAACTTAACTTAGTATTGCAGTATCTAATGCCTTCCTTCTACATTATCTTCTTTATTTACGTTTGATACTATGCAGATAACAGCCACTTCCACATCTAAATTTAAGCGTCTACATTTATGAGAATTGGTTTTTATTTTTGCAATAAAAAAAAATAAATTACAGCCGTATGTCCTATTCATTATTATGATAAATCTCTAACGGATATGAATTTACAAGTTTGAACTTTCTAATTTAAAATCAAGTTGCTATACAATTTTATTTCTGTTTCTTTGACTATTGAGATTATCAACTTTTGTTACATATCTTAGCATTTTTAGTGTAATTAACAATCTAGACTAAATCAGTATTAAAATTGTCAAAGTCTCATTTTAATGAAACTGTATGCATTACACGAGGGCTAACATGTTGGCATGAAGCCTCTGATGTAAGGTATCATGTTTTAGAAAGAATATAAAAATGTGGGCATATCTTCAATAAAGAAAAAGGAGAGACTCATTCCTCATCATAAAGTAGTTTAGAAATAATTATTCATCTTTCATTTATTTCCAACTATCATTGATATCAAAATATTATATTCATCCCAAGTTACGACTGGAGCTAAACTACGTAGATCATAATAAATAAAAAATAGTCTGGTCGTTATCTTATAAAACACATGCATACGTATTATACCTAATAAATATCACCTTGTGAAGAGTCAAATAAAGAGAGTATGGGTATTAGAAGGTAGACAAGCGAAGCAGAAATAATACAAACCTATAATCGATTTTACGTATGAACATTAAATAATCTTATTAATAAAATGGAAAATAATGAGAAAAATAGTAAAATTTTAGTGAAAACTTCAGTAGGGCTTCCTTAATGGGATATTACAACCACAACAATTTCATTCGAACAATTATCAATCTAAAGAACCAAAATTAAGAGCAGGAGTTGGGTATAGGGTCATTTTATAACTTTACCTGCTGATCGTGGATCCAACGTTTGTAAAGAACTAAAAAATTGATGGGTCTCAATGTAATCATAATTATTGAAACCGAGATGACTAACAAATAATTTAATTGATGAACTGTAAATGACATGTACTTGAATTACCGAAATTAATGGATTTAATAAAAAAATGAATAAATTAACTTGTTCGACAATTTGTGGTAGTAATTTATTAAATGAAGTACTCTAGCAATTTATTAAATAAAGTATTTTATTTCGGAAAAAAAATTTTCTATTTATTAACCGGGATATAAAAATCCAGTGAACTGAGCTAAAAAAAAAAAAAAAAAAAAAAAAAAAAAAAAAAAAAAAAAAAAAAAAAAAAAAAAAAAAAAAAAAATTAAAAAAAAAAAAAAAAAAAAAAAAAAAAAAAAAAAAAAAAAAAAAAAAAAAAAAAAAAAAAAAAAAAAAAAAAAAAACAAAAAAAAAAAAAAAAAAAAAAAAAAAAAAAAAAAAAAAAAAAAAAAAAAAAAAAAAAAACCACGGATACAAGCACTAATTTGAAACACTGCT